TTTAATTAGCAATGTTGAAAAGTACCTAAATTCAAAAGACAAGTTAAATCTAAATAAGTCCAATAGAACGGCACAACATAACAAAATATCTTAAAAGTCTATAAAGCCTCCGAACCCGAAACGTATTGTACATTATTCACAAACTTATGCCCAACCCTTAGGGCAAGTCTTTACAAAAATCTCAATAGAAAGTTTTTCATAACTAAAATCAATCGGAAATCTCGAGTAAATAAAAACTGTAGATTAGATAATTTGTTAGATCTTAAGCAAACTTGTTTCCACAAATAAAATTCCAGTATAGTCATTTAGAAGCCAAAAATACTTGGCAGCCGACAAGCCAAGTTTCTGTGCATTCGTGGAGCACCCCATCTGGTGTCCAGATGCATGTGGGTTCCAGTTCTCGTAACGCGGAAAATCGCGAATAGAAACTGTCATGTCCGAAGACAAGTTATTGTGGTTGTTCCTTTACTGTTCCTAGGAATCGGTTGGTTAGCTAAAATAAACACGCATTTCTGATTGCTAGACATTTTCTTGCTTTGCTCAGATCGGAACTAAGTGGCGCTGTGTATGATGTTTGATATTTACGTACTTATCTAGGCACACAATAACTATGCAGTGCAATAGATCATTTCGGGGAAACCATCATTTGTTAAACCAATGCAACATACACCTCTGGTGCCACTGAAATGATGGCGAATCCGCTGAAACTGATCTGCATTACAGCGTTCAATACGCTTATTTACTAAAGAACAAAATGTCTTCCAAAATGACGCGCACGCTAAATCTTCATGACCCTGAAACATTGCTTAGTGACCCGCAACATGACCAATCAAAATTTTGCGATGCATTTATGTGACGTGGATGGAACATGCTAGCTAGCTGTCGCTCCGACTTAAAAGCCACTAAGTTCAAAAACCTGATAAAAATAAAACGAAGCTAAACGAGTATAAATAGCAAATAGCTAGAATTAATTTCAGAAAATAAAAGAAGTTTAATCTTTTTCAAGTAAAGCACATGCGTTATTGTCACCAGGACGCCTCCGGTATTTAATGAGTGACATTTTCCGCAACATTTCAGCCCGTTAATTCCCCAGTCTGTCCAAGGCTTAAGGCTTATAATCACAAAGGAACAACCATGTTTGTATACAGAATACTTTTATATCATTACCCGAACGTTACTCTCATTTCTGCAGTGATGTAAAGCATGCAAAGTGGTAATTCACACTTTTATCTCGGTTAAACACGGCAATCGCATCAGGCAGTATTCCAGGCGTGCTCGTCTGGTGCCGACTTAAAAATATATCACCGAATGCAGCGATCAAGCACCTTTGGACTAAATATTTACGTCTGCCCGTCTTGCGAGAACGTATTGTCGTTATTAAAAATTCAAAACAGAATTTTATTTGTTGGTAATAGGGCGAGTTGGTTCGATCGAGTTACATTTTTGTTCAGTTTGTACTTTGTAAGCTTTTGTGAACATAATAATATGACTTGTATTATAATGTGGAGGAGGTTGGAATTGCATCATCATTCATAATATTTATCCTTACGTGAAAATGCTTCACGTAATAAAAACCAGCGGCCTCAGAGCGGTATAAGATTTTCCGAAAGTTCTTACATCTTTTTCCAACTGTCTTAATGCGTCAAGACATCTGTCATGTATTTTAATTGGGCTCAGCTATGACCATCACTCATCATCACTTAGTGAACTGACCTTGACAATTTCCCGTAACAGATCAGGTGAAGCCGTGTCGCAAGCTAGTAGTCCGTGCCAAACAAACTAACTAAAACAAAACGTATTATTAGACTGACGACCCGTTTAGTTTTTACTATCGTTAGCCGTTAAACAGTATCGTTAAGGCAAAGCGATTCGAGGCTGCTGTGATTTTCATTATAAATTAAATTGTATTCAAAATATTGGACATCAATTTTGCTTAATTGAATTAGATTATGAACCAAAACATTGGACATCAAAAATTAGCTTATCCGTAGAATTTTCTTCCAATACAAAAGGATGACTCTCTATAATTTACCAAAGGCAAACGGAGTAGTTGGTCTTCACTCCACACGCTGATTGTGAGATTTGATGTTAGCACATTTCCTCCTTAGTTACTACATCTATACGGGAAGACTGAGAGTTGTTCTACTCTGATGAAACCATACGGTTAAAATTGTTATATTATTATTTTAATTAAAGCGATTCGCCTTAAACCATTCGCAAAACGGATGCGTGAGTGTGTCGAAGTTCGGACAGATGATCGAGCCGCAGGATGACGAATTTAATTCGCACTGCGTTAACGACCGAATTCCACCAGATCACCGTTTGTTTACCTCTACTCCAACCTTCGATTTTATTCTTATCACCTCAAGGAAACTTATCCTATCATGACCAGTTGGTGTATCAAACGTGTAGAACTATAGGTGTCGTAAAACTAAATAAAACTTAATGTTGGTTAACACCTGTATTTTTGGATGATGTTGTGATTTCATTGCACGGTCATTATAAAATCTAACTAAGGTGTAAACATATACGCCTACAAAGATCTATGAAGAAACCATACATACAGTAGCCAACTGAATACACGAAGAAATTGCCCTCTAAATTATTGAATTACTTACATGATTAATGTATAAAAAAACCGTCTATGTTTTTGGAACAGGAACACATAGTTATTTGTATCTATCTGTTTCCTTTTCATTGCTCATATTCAGTTGCTTCGAGGGAAAAGTAATTGACAAAAATGTAAATACTAAACAACCACCAGACAAGGTTACCCAGTTTTTAAATCGTACTCATAACCAGCTCCAATGTCCCGTCCAAAAGTCCACAGCATTAACAAACACTCATTTGCACTAAAAAGGGGCGGTTGCATCGGTGCGATAATTCGTACACGATAAGACTTTTCCAAGAGTTCCAAGCCAATCTGTAAATCGTATCGGCACTTGGGTTGACTGGAAAGCGGCTAATTTTGGCAAGGAGCATTGTTTTTTCTGGCGACGACAGGACGAGCTCGCGCGGAACGAATGCAAATTATTATGTTCCATGATTATCATGTAACACAACAATCGAGCCGATTAAGATTAGGTATCGTTTCAAGAGATGCTTTTTAGTAAAGTGGAACAGGAATAATATGCATGAAAACTTATCTATGTTTTGACTGTTTATTTGTTATTCTTTCACAATTGTCTTAGTGAATTTATAATTTTGGTGTAATTAGACATGAGAAAATTATATCTACCTCAATTCTACCTAAACATTACTTGCGAACATAATTTCTGTTTTACGCATAATTATGAGAATTATCATTTTTAGTTTTTAGCCAGAAAAAAATTGTATAAAAGACGCTAGATTAACACTTTTTGTACAAGACCAAAGCACTTCGCTTTGTAGGTAGGTACTAGGTAGCGAATATACATTGTCTTCTCGCGCTTCGTTCAACCAAAAGACGTCCATTGCTGGACAAAGTTTAACTATAGCTTATTCCCAAATTCGTCAGTAACCTACCAAAGTTCCTTCAAAAACGCATTTCCTTAATTTTTTAAAAGTTGCTCTAGCGAAATAAAGATAAAAATCGCATCAACGAGCCCGCGTCTTAGCCCCGATCATCAGAATAAAAATCGCGATGTGTCTCGGTGGCGCCTGCTGATTACCATCCGTGCCGCGGTCGACGTCGACCTAATTTTTGTCTCGTTTGCATTACGACGCCCTTGCTTCCTTCCCGAGCGAGCTACGTAATGGAGAGAAAGAAAATTATAAATTATTGTTTTGAGAATTCTGATACGACGTGTGGTAATGATTCCACTTTTGGAGATTGAGTTCTTGTAAAAGTTTCTGTTTCAAATCAACCCATATTATAATAGAATAGGAATTAGGAATACAACTTAAAGGTAGTATAGCATTATAGCAATTATTTTAATATATTTTTCATTTTTGTAGGTCAATACATTATCTACGAGTACTTACAATGATACTGAATTAGTGAGATAAGTGAAATTCAAATACTCGCATCGATTGAATCCTATTCAATATTTCACTAATCACTGACTTGAATCTGTTCTCGAGTTAAGATGAATAGTTGACGGTTCAAACAGATTAATTTCTAACTATAATTAAAGCTTTCGTTCTAAAAATTATGATGTATGCCTGCTTAAACATGAATCACTGTTCTTATATAACTAAATTATGAAATCCAGCTTTAACATCTCAATTCTCAGTACTTTGTAACAGAAAAATGAGCTTAAATAAAAGTAATAAATGACTTACTATTTAGGAGCAGACATCCGTCAACACACAAACTAGATATTTCAACAAACTTTGAAAATGTTAATAAAATAAATACGCAAATATTTTTATGAGACGTGAGAATTTAACAAGATGGAGTCACTAGTTGTCTGAGATATTTATGAAGAAAGACATTAAAATTATTACTACAATATTTATGTTACAGATGAAAATCCTTTTCATCACCTCCAGACCTTTTTATTACAAGCAGTTTTACACTTTGAACATATTTATTTAGTTTGGAATAGTTTTATAGATGACTCTATAATATAATATTCGATGTTAAAGTTTTACTAGCATTCCATTTCTAAGGTTAACTGCTACAAACACGATCTGTTTTATGTAAAGGTGAATTTCTAATTTGTTTTCTGAAATAAGTTTCTTCTTAGCATAGTTTTATATTGTCAGTGTTTAAGACTAGATGTCTAATATAAGTTGTGTTTATTATGCGCAGACGCGTTGTCAGTGTGTTGTGCCGCGCGTGTTTTCTATACATACTGAGGTACTTGCATACAATGATTAAATCTGTCGTCCCGCGTAACGCGGCGGAGCGCGGCGCAGTGTGATAATCGCCATAGAGTCGAATTTGAATTGTAACGTAGTCGTATTAGATACTCCTGTAATTAAAATGGTACAAAATGCTGTGTAAGAGAGGGTTCATTTCAAATTCAAATTCTATTGAATTTGAAATGAAATCTAACTTAAAATCTAGGACTTACCTGAAAGAATAGACAGAAGCACACCCATTGGTAGTATTTGTAGATCTTCCTGTCGCTCATATCTTCCGTCCCTTTCTCGCGGCTGTTCCCGATGCCCGGGTACGGGACCTCCACGCCCACCTTCTTGTTGAAGAAGCTCTTGAGGGTATACGTGGAGTGGATCCAGCAGTAGGTGTTCAGGACGTCCTCCGGGATGTCCTTGGTGTGGATGCAGTCGATCGGGTTTCCTACGTACTGCCTCGTGGTCACGATCAAACTGAACGCGATCAGCAGGATGACCGTTATAGAGTAGTGCAGCCTGAATACCGGCGAGTCGATTTGTACATAGTTCACCTTTATAAGATTCTTTAAACCACGAAAAACGTCTAACATCTTAATCGCTTGAGTCCTTTCTCGGGTGAGTCCGCGCGAGGGACGTCTAACATTATTTCGTTTACTATATTATTGTACGGAGCACCAGTGATATATTCACTAATAGTTTATTCAGTTCGTTGTTTTAAGGCACTTGGAGGCAGTGTTTTGTTCCCTGGTTCATCATACGCTTCGCCTACGTTGCAGTTTCTTGGGTATTTTTATGAATTTTAAAAGCGATAGCGCTTGTGTCATGTTTTCTTCGTTTCATTATTGGGGGTTTTCATAGATGTTCTTTGGGACGCGTCATTGGTATTATTTGAGAGCCGATGTAGAATCTAAACAGATTATTGGTTGTTGTTTTAAGGTATCTACGGTTATTTCTTTAGAAAATAATCGTAGTATTAAAACAACAGCCTGTATATGACCGATCGCCGGAGCACCTCTGTTTGTTTTAGTGTCTGGACGTGAAAAAGCGTGTCATGTGTCAACTACCGGATTTACGGATCATCACAAAGGTTTAAACAAAGCTTAATTATTACCTAGATCGTTTAATCCATGTTTGCATAAACTACGTTGACCTAGAACGTGTTCTAGTTTGTTTCTAAAGTAACACACTGATTTTAAAACGCTGAAAATTTGTAAAATGAATAGACAACCTAATTCGTTTTTGGAGACTGTTTTTGGGCCTTTATTTGTAGGATTTGAATGGAAATAGAAGGCTCTATTGTATTCGTAGGTAAACCCTAAGGAATAAGATTCACACATGACGTTAAAGTTTAAAAAAAGCAGATTATTACATTTGAAAACTACGACAATTTTACCCAATATCTAAGTAGCTCAGATGGTCAAAGCAGTTGCCCGGCAAGGGAAGGGCCATATGGGTTCGATTCTTACCCGAGACAATTGATTTTTTCAAGTTATTGAAAATTTATTCGTACCAGTACAGCTTATTTACAAAAATTAGTCATCCCTAACCAAAACACGGACTATCTCATAACAGACAATTTACGTCAATGCAAGTCCCTTTGATCCGCCATCGCTCGGTACGCATCACCTGTTGCCTTAATAACTCATGGTATGATTTATCTGACGGCAACGAACGCAGGCGCAACGCTGTCAGCCATGTTTTTGTTGCGTTAACCTTCTTTTGTTTCTACGTCATAATTCTGTCGCTGGTCGGTTAACATAATATTTTAGGTTATAAATTAATTAAGACGTAGTTATTATATTTTTTATTTAGTTTCAGTGACAATTATTGGGATCACTTCATGTACGAGTATGTAGAGTCTCGCGCACTTAAATGCTGAAAATATTTAATGTATTTTGAAACAATTGAAAAAGGGATTATTGAGAAAGGTAACAAGCAAATTTAATAAACGTTTTATGCATCAGAAGATAAAAATTAATAAAATAAAGTACTTTATGACATGAAAATGGCTCTTTTATGATTTCTTTCTTTCTTTTCCATTAATTGTATTTTTTTTGTCTTCATGATGCACAAAAGCAATGTTTGTCTCGAATTCAACTGAAAACGTAGAAAGAAAGTACATTTACTGTAGTAATTTAGCTCAAGACTAAAGAGAGCAAACTTATTTAGAGGCTTTTAAACAAGCTGTAGCTGTAGGTCAACTGAAAGAATGAGAAAATCGAATAAAGCTACGTCTTTCCATTGAATAAAGGAACCTGTTTTTTGTTAACTATCTTTAGTTATGTTAATACTAAGTTATTTTTATTGCCCCAAAGCACGTCTATTAAGAAGACCAACACATATTTTCTCTAAACAAAACAAAATCGAATTCAAACGACATGCTACTAGTACTCGATCTATGTTTAGACAAAGGAAAACCATTAAAGCAAATGTTCAAAATAAATCACAGCTTCAGAATAAAATGGAAGACCTTGAACGTGTTTGAAATGAAATAATTTCTTCTGCTGTAAGGTGGAGACATAAATATCGGTAGTTCTTTGTGGACTAATATATTGGTACGGTGTTTCTTGGCGATTTATTACAGCGATTAGCGAGATGAAGATGGTAAATTAATGTTGTGGTGGCTTTAGTTGATACTAGTTTTAACCGACCGAAACTATTAAATTACTGTGTATTTGTCACTTTTTGTAGAAAACTAGTTTTTGACAACGTTAAATTACGAAGCTACAAGCAAATTACAAGCAGTCTCAATATTAAAATTCGACCACAGGCATGAAAGATTGCCTTGAGATTTGGGATCATATTCTAAACCAACATGATCACCACGAGGGGATAACGGGACTAGTAATTTGTATTTAGGAATTTACAAATTACTAATATTCTTTAAAAAAAAACTCCATTAAATTCAAACAAAAATAACACTTGCGATCAGAGCCCATCAATTTAAAAAAAGTACGTAACACATTAAAAAATCTATTGTTACATTTGAAAAAGTGAAACACATTTTGCCATTCATAACGTTCTACTTTTGAAAAGAGTTATACAGAGTGATTGTGCGTATGTCGCACTGAAAATTGCGTTTATTACGCTGGTTCAGGGAATTTGATTTGAAAGTGGACTGTATAGGTTTTTTATAATAGAAAATTGATGAAAGGTAGATCAGTCCTCGCAACACAGAGACAGGTAATCTGAGCTTCACCAACCTTAAAATCGACCCTCGCCACGGACGGAAGCCAACCTGCAGACGCACGGCGTTCTGGGCGGTGGAGCACTGCCAGAGTATGCTCGGAGCTGATGCTGATGATGATGATGGTACGCGGAGCACGGCTACACGCGAATTATAGCAAAAGACACGGTCTTTTCAGGGAGTGAACGTCACTCGTAGACTCGCTAAGCGTGCGCGACACACGGGTGTGCGCGATGAGCGTCGCCGGGCAAGTGGGGCTTGCTCCGACCATTGGACGATGGTAGGAAAATAAAGTTGGCGAAGCAAATGTGAGAATACCCGCCAATATTTTTACAAGGACTGAACAGTGATTATTCAAAAGTGATATAATTATAACGTTTTGAATGGTTGAGGTGAAAACAGCTGAAAATGTATTATCTAATGAATAATACTGAAAGTTGCTATTTTCTAAAGTGTCCATACAAACTACAGATCCAATCCAAATAAACGGGCAGGGCTTTGTAAACTTTGTTTCTGTAGAGTCGCGCTAATCGGAAAGTCGTTGTCCCAAATTAACTTGCTATTTATCCCTTTAATCTGAAATGAGAGTGGGTTTCATCACGTTTCAAATGTATTTAGGAAAATATTAATAATATTTGCTTTATTAGTAAAAAATTCAAACGTAAGCCGTGAAATGTGGGAAAAGTCAACGCTCTATCGCACATCTTACTATAACATAACAAATGTTCAAAATCTGTCAAACTCCATACTAAAAACACCGGTTAACGTTAGAGTTACGGTTAAAGTATAAAGTTAGGTGGTGCAACTCAGCCTAATATTGACAAACGCGTGATATGGGTGCAACACTTCTGAAAAATACATAATTAGATGGATTTTAATGAAACTTTATAACGTAGCTCGTAGTTACAGTAAATTGGTAATTTTAAAATGGATTTTTTTTTAACATAAATAAGGCCTATCTGGACATTTATTCTACGTGTAAAAACGTTAAGATCGTATTACACTTAAGAATGTATATGTCAAAAATGTGTAAAGATCGCGTGTTTTCTAAACATCCTGCGGGGATGAAAGGGCTATTGTCAGACGCCATTTTTCTCGTGTCACCTGACAGCTCAATGGAGTCTCCAGACTTTTCTCGCCAGTTCACAAATCAATAGGTAAGTGGTCTAAAAAGGTGAACATTCTGTGTACCAAACTTTTTGGTCGTGCGGCTAGCCATTTAAAAAATAACGTATGTGAGAAAAAACATAAGAACGTCTAGTATTGCGATCGACTTTTGTTTTATTTTCAAATGAATGTTCTCTTCTGTAACTTTTGGCGCAAATATTAACGAAATAGGGACGAGGAAATTATGGTAGGTTTATTATGAGTAGGTAAGGGGAAAAGGCACCCCATCTAATACTATAAAGAGAAGATTTGATTATTTGTTTGTATTGAATAGACTCCGAAACCACTGGACTGATTTGAAAAATTCCTTCACTATTAGAATTCTAAATTATTTCTGATGAATGTATATTCATAAGAACAAACAAAGCGGTAAAAAGTTCGTTTGATTAGCTAGTATTAAGGAAAGAGTGAAGAGATCATCAGCATCATCAGAGATTGCTTCTTCATTTTTTTCTTCTTAAATTCTTAATTTTTTCTTGTTATTTTCCGACACGTAACTACAAGTAGGTAGTCTAAATTATCGCCGATCGTTCTGTCTGTACCGATAAAACTTAAATATGATTAGTTTATGAGTCCCACTAAACAGGCGATATATTACTCATGCTTCGCGGCAGCGCTCGGTGGCCATTTGTCAAAATTAAACGATCAAAATCGCGGAAACGAGGCAAATGGACCATTTCATTCGAGGACCGCTTCAAAGTCTTTAATTCGTGTTTGATAAAAAAAGGTGAAAGAGATTTAAATTCGTGCGGCTTTTGTTAATGCGGCAAGTGAAAGTTACTTGTGGATTGTGTCACCGTAAATTGTGAATTCCGTCAGATTATAATCTGACTTAGTTAAATTACAATACCTAACCTAACACACTGTTAGTTTACAATTTCACGCATTATATTATAAACTGACGGAAATCGAATTTTACGTTGACAGATGTAATATGGATGTAACTTACTGTTTGAAGCATGCATGATTAAAAAACACCGTTTACTTACATATACATATAAAATATAGATTTGTCACCAAATGTTTGAACAAAAACTTTAAGCTGATTTTGAAATTATTTTGTCATTTTTACAGTGGGTAAAAATGATGGAAAATGACGCATTTTTCATCGTAATAATTGAGCTGATGGCCAATTTATAATAAGTAAATAACAATTTGTTTACGAAAATTGCCGTATCAGTTTTCAGAGTCAGCCGAGACAGATGATAACTTCTCATAAACTCGACTAAAAATTATGGCATGTTCATTTTGGCATCATTCATAATTAAAAAATACGAGTAACTTTGACTCTCTGTTTTCTTGAAATGTCTGTCAAACTCCACACAAAAACACCGGTTAAATTTACGGTTAAAGTTAAGGCCATGGATCGCTTTAACTTCATACGTGATCGTTAGGTAAGTGTTTTTATTGTAATACAAATGAATAATCATATTATTTTGTCACACATTATGAGTTGTACGTTTCTCAATATTTTTTCATTTCCTTCCCCGGGACTGGCAGGTCTTTTAGGTTTCCTGCCAATTCGCCTAGAGGGCGGCGGAAATGGACGC